CCATATTCCATAGACTTTCATATTATGGTTGTCACCTTTTTACAATTTGTTTCTGTACCAAATTATTATTTTGTTTCTTCCTTGTACTCTGTCATTCAAAGTAGTATAGTGTCAAATGGACCTCTATGGTAGAGACATAGCCCTCCTTCCTTGAAGATAGGAAGTGAGGAGGGAAACTAAGTCAGAGTATAGGGTTAGCCAGAAGAGGATAGCATTCTCCAGACTCCTTGGGAGCTCAGTATCAGAAGATGAAACTGGACCGCTTTTCAGATTCCCACCTGGTGATCACAAACAGGAGCTAAATAATTAGAAAAAGAAAAAGGATATAATAGAAACTTTGCCAGAAGGTACTCGACAGAATGTGTGTCGTTGAGCCATGAAACCAGGTATATTTTGTTCATGTAAGATTTCTGCATAGCGTTAGCAGTTACTCAATGGGTTTGCTCCTTACAACATTTACCAGAATTTTTCCCAACCAGAATATCCCATTTACTGTGTTGCATTTGCAATAGTACATATTTATAATCTTTTATAATAAAAGCAACTTGTACTTATTCGTGGAACATTTAAGTCATGCTATCCAAGAACATTTGTGAAGAATAATTAAAGTGCTATAATTTCTGTTGCTGAGGTACCTGCCTGCCCTTTAAAAAGACATCTTTTTCTAGATAATGTTTCCGAAAAATGTTTTTATGCGGTAACACAATATTTTTGTTGTTTAATGTAGTGACTGTTAAGTATGGAACTGCTTTAATAAACACACCAAAGCCTACCTGTTCTAGTAGAGCTAATAAACCATGGTCTACCAAGTCTAACATGCTGTTAATTAAAATGCATGGGTTAAAAGCAAGTATGAAAATATAACTAACTCTATTTCATATTGATTTTAAGGTTTATAGTAATGCTTAGAGTTGTAAAACAAGAAATGAGTGACTTCAGAACAATAAAATTCAACAGTAATCTAAGATATTTTTCATTGTTGACGTAACAAGCCATTTCTCGCTGCTTTCATACCACAAAATCAATTATTTTTCACTGAAATTAACATTATGTTTACCCAGATATGAGTATCAGTAACTTTGCCAGTTTCACTTGTTTCCTTGCATGTTAGGAAGATAAACATTTGATTCGCCTTTGAGGATGTTCGGGTAGTGTTACAGTTTAACATAGTTCAACAAATGGACCCAAAAACATTTTGAGCAGTTATTTGAGCATGCTAGATTCCAAGTTAAACCTTTGAATGTTTCACCAGTCATCAGATACTAAAATTTGTGTACTCAAAAGTGTCACATATAACATCACATCAGTCACTTGTAGATCATTGCAAGTTAGAGTTAGCACCCTCCCACATGAGGACTCTGGTCTGTTTTCTGTGACTTAAGTGGAAAGGTGGATCAGTGCCTTCACACATGCACAGTCACTCTATGTGGAGATGTTCGGTTGGGGGAAGCTGCGGTCTCACTAGTTTTCCTTGCGTGAGGTAGATGGTATCATCACTGGGTAAATGGGGGATATAAACTTGAAATCATGCTTGTTTTTTTATTTTATACTCATCGTGGATTTACTGCAATAGTGATTAACTGCAAGTCACCAATAATGAATTAGAATTTAATTAAGGAAAGAAGTTAAAAAAAAAAAAACTTCTTGGAGTCATTTAACCAAACATGGTCCAGATTTGAATTTTCTTCTCCATGATCCCTATGACTTCTATCTTCTCTCTGTTGTTTGAGTCTGCATTTGTGCCTGCCTAAAGGTTGTCTTGTGAATCTGTGTCTGTGTGTTCTGTCTATATAAGCCTGTCCCTGTGTGTAACTGTGTCTCTGTCTTTAACAAAGGGCTTTGCTCTGTCTCTATTGAAAGCACAGAAAGTATCCCATGGGGGGAAGGAATGGAATACTTCTCAGAATAAGGGACTGAATCACTGGCTCCAACTGATCCCAACTGACCCAGACAAAACAAAACAAAACAAACAATAACAACAACAAAATACAGTACTGTAAACATCATTGTTCATCAGCCAATGTCCATAAAGTTTGTGTTCAACTTTTATGGTGGATTTTAAATGGTTGCTTTTAACCTCTATATTTGCTGCTTTCAGCAATTAATTGACATGCCCACATTACTCTGGGCCAGGGCATGGAAGATTACATAATTTAAGTTTACAGCTATGCCTTAGTTTAGGTTGTAAAAGTTGATTACCTGAAAAATCCAAGGCAAGTAAAGTTGGTTGTTACACTGTTCTCTTAAAAGCAGATAACACAGGAGGATAGCAGTCTTTAGTCATAAATAACCTCAAGGTAACCTTTGGTTGTGATGTCTAGCAGAAGTTCCAGTCTCTTAATATGTAAGAAGTATTTTCATAATACTTTATTGTCACAATATTTAACACTTCCCTAGGATTTATTAAAATTCTTGGATCATTAGGTTTATTGTTTTCATAAAATTTGGAAATATTTTGGCTGTATGTTCTTTAAATACTTGGTTAGTCCACCTCTTACCTTTTCTTGGAAATTGGCAGTTACCTGTGAGCTAGCAGCTTGACTTTTTCCCACTAATGCCCATGGATGCTCCTTAAAGTTTCCTCTGGCCCCTTTGCTTTTTGGGGTCTTTGGGGGTATTTTCTATTGCCATGTCTCCAAGTTTTTTCTTTTGCAATATCTAAAAGTTCCTAATTCTATTTGCTTCAGTTTTTATTACAGGTATGTGCCTTTTGCTTATAGATACTTAGCTCATATCATTATTATACTTTCCATGTCTTTTTTTTAACATGTTTAAAACATTTTTATTTCAGAATAATTATAGATTCACATGAAGTTGTAAATATGGCATGGAGTGGTTCCTTGAATCCTTCTGCAGCCTAGGTATTGATTACTGTTATATATCCATAGTACAATATCAAAACTAGGGAATTGATATGTATACATCATATATACATTTTCTTTTGGCCTTGTTATTATATGTGTAGATCTCTGTAGCCAACACTGAAATCAAAATACTAGTGTAGGACACAACACACATACTCTCGAAACACTGTATGCTGAATTTAATTTTGTCTGTTCATGTCTTATCTTAGCTTTTTATTGCATTCCAGATATATAAGAATAGTATCTTGTTCATATATCTTTGTTCCTACCATATTTATGTCAGTGAGTGTGTTTTGGGGGATTATATATTCATTCTGTAAATAATGCGAGGGGCCTGCAACTCTTTTCTATTGTTCCATGGTTCCTAGATGATATTTTCTTTTTTCTTTTCAAGACAGGGTTTCTCTATGTAGCCTTGACTGTCCTGGACTCATTTTGTAGACCAGGCTGGCATCAAACTTAAGAGAGATCCACCTGACTCTGCCTCCCTGAATGCTGGAATTAAAGGCATGCACTGCCATGCCTAGCTTAGACGACACATTCTAAAGATGAGTCCACCATAGTTATCTTCCTAAGTAGTCTGAGAGTGGTTAACTAGTGGACACCTAGAAATCATCTTGTGAAGACACAGACATAAATGTTGAATTTTCTGTTTGCTGTGACAGTGTTTGCCACAAAGACAAAGAATATTTCAGTTTAAACTCCTATAGTGAACATTTTCAAAATGTTAAATAGCATAAGTTTGGCTACTTCTTATAAGTGTTAAAAATGAAACAAAACCAAATCATTCCATTATACCAGTAAAATGTTTACTGCCCACATATGTGGAATGTTGTATTTTATGTCTTTGAATCAGTGTCTTAGCAGCCCATGCATATTCAATATTGTCACATTTTGTGGGCTTGTACAAGCCACCATTTTATATTATGAAGTATAGAATGTATGTGTTGCTTCTTTGGAACACATATATCCAAAAGATACCAGACATGAAGGTCATTCTAAGACAACTGTGCATTTTATTTTTTCCTTTTTACATCCTTTATTTTCCTTTTCACAGATAAAATAGTCTTGTAAAAATATAAAAAGTCAAACATAAAAAGTCAAACAAATATTCTTTTCAAATCCTTTAAACTGAGAGTATAGCTCTGTTGACAGAATGCTTGTTTAGCCTAAGGTTGTAGGTATTGGCCTTAGAATATATCCTCATATTGAGGTCAGCAATTATGAACATATATAAATACTGTTTTTATAATCTGGCTTTTCTCTGTGTGAAATATAAAGAATGTATTTTTATTTAATGTTTTTTTTTTTTGTGACATAGTTGTAATAACATGATATTTTATCCTGGTCGTATGTCATAATATAACTCTGTATCATGGGAGTGTCAAGAAGATAGAGTCTGCACTTTCTGGCTAGCGCCATAGATAAGTTATTATTCCTCTGTACCTCAGCCTCTTCAGCTCTAAAATGGAGATAAGTGTGGTAGCAGATTTACCAGCTGATGTGAAGATTTAAAATTATTGCATATGGCCCTTAAAACACTTCACTCACTCCAATACTGTTTTCATAGATTTTTTTTCTTAGAAGATTAAATTTTTTGCTGTTACAGTAGTTCATCTTTGAATCAAAAGGTTCTTGCCTTTATTTGTCTAAGAAGACATTTTCTGAGTATAATTAGAACATTGAGATCTATTGCTAAACCATCCTCTATAGAAGTTGTGTGACTTGTTGCATATGTTCTGTCAGACCATAAGAAAGGAGGGAGCCACTGCGCAGGGCTTCATGGTTCAACGCGATGATTGCTCATGAGACAACTTTTATGGAACTTGCTTTTCATTACTTATGTACTACTCTTCAGGTAGCAATGTGAAAATTACAATTGTTTGTTTACTTCGTGTGTGTGTGTGTGTGTTTAGTGTATTATCCCAACTGTGGTTTGATGAAGTATTTGTAATGGTGTGATAAGCTGTGTGTTTAGTGTGTTAATACAACTGTGGTTTGATAAAGTATTTGTAATGGTGTGATAAGCTGTGTGTTTTGTGTGTTAATACAACTGTGGTTTGATAAAGTAGTAGTATGATAATTCACACAGTGTGGTAGTCTATCCCACTGAAATGAGTGTTTTCTTTTTTCAAGAAAAAAGCAGCAAGTGCGGGCAGTAGCCAGCCTTCCAGAGCCCATGCTGGTGGAGCCACCACAGCCACCAAGGTCAGTTATTCCTGAATCCAAGGAAGTCTTTGATCCTCATTGCTTTACAAGGAAGACATCAGTGGGTAGTACACAGAGGGAAGGTAGCAAGCACACACCCTCAGGACCCCAGCCATCAGTGGCATACCTTCTCTGTCAAGGCTGCACCAAACAGTACCACTAATTTGTGAGCTAGTGTTCAAGTCCTGGAGCCCACTGGAGGCATTTATCATTCATATGACCACATAGCACTTGCTTGTTGGTTTTGATACCTAATTGGAAGGGCCTAAGTCATAAACAATTATTGGATATCATATTATTTCTGTGTTGGAAGAGAGGATATAGTTTTTTTTTTCTTTGATATTTTTATTTACATGCATTAGCTCCTGTGTGAGCTTTTATGCAGCACACATATGCACAAAAGGAGGCAATGAGTGTTAGACCACCTGGAACTGGAGTTCCACGCAGTTGTGAGCTAACGTGAGTGGGCACCTTACCCAGCACCTCTTCAAGAGCAGTAAGTGCTCTTACCCACTGAGCCATCGCTCCAGTCCTAGAGGTAGCTACTTAACAGTGGTTTGAAAGATTTAAAATCTAGTGAAACCATTTATGGTCTAATTATTGCTGCTATGTAATGTGTTCAATAGATATTATAGTAAATAATATCTGTAGATAGTCTTGGGCTTTTATATATACTGCAAGTGAACAATTGTTTTCCTGATTCTTCAGAAAATGATACAAATCTCTCTCATAATCATTCATCACAGCAATGTCTCTGCTGTGTGTGTTGTGTGTTCCATAAATATCTTATGGAACCCCCTCATAACCTTTAATTATTTATTTCTTTATTGCTTAGGAAACAATGGCTCTGAGAGGCTAGGTAATCTTGGTAGGATCCCAAAAGGAGTAAGGTGGAGGTAGCATTGACCTCGGTTTTCTGAATGGCCCCTGACAGTGACAATGGTCCATAAATTCTGAGTCTTTTCTTGCAATATTAATACTTCTGAGCTTTGCAATTTGTAAAGAAAGAACTGAAGCATCACCTTTCAAATCAGAATATGATCATTTTAGCCAGTAGCTTTGACTACATACAATTTTTCTGTTGATCCTATTGAAATTCTATTGCCTATTGTGTGCTGTGATCCAAGATTATCTGAAATTTTATACTATTTCAGAATTCTCTACATAGTATTTTATTTAAACACCATTTCTTAAAAACTGATGATTGTCCCATAAAGTCTGTTAATTTTTTAATTCATGCCATTTGACTGATGAATGGTTGTTATTTAAGTGTGTCCAAATCCTTAAGGAACTTAATCCAAGAGTTAGTAAAAATAAATAAATAAATAAATAAATAAATAAATAAATAAATAAATAAATAAATAAATAAATAAATAGAGCTTGTAAAATTAGGCTTGGACCAGTACCACCTAATTTTACAATCTTGAGTTTATCTTTAGATGTGTCTTCTTTCAACCAGTAAGAAAAAGCAAAGAACATTGAAAGACTATGAATCTGAAATACTGGGGCACTTTGATGTTTAAGAGCTGCACTGCTTTTTCCTTTATTGCTGATTTAGGGACCCTACAACACTGATGCTCAATGAAAAGATACTGTGTCTCTGGTCAAACAGGTCCAAAATTTGGATTTCCACTTAGCCATGTATTTCCTTAGTATAACTGAGCTCATCAGAATGTTAATATGATCTCTGTTGTAACAGCTGTCGCAAAGCTGAAAATAAAAGAATGTATGAAGCACTGCACCCTGGGCTGGACACTTGTCAACTCCTGGGAAACCTGCTCGCTGTGGTTGCTTGGTCTTCCTTATTTGTTGTTTGGTTACTGGAGAAATTTTCCAAGCATGTTTTAACTTTTATGTAATTGGGGCCTGCATTTAACTTTCATCTAAATTATGACTTTAAAATATGACCTAATTCATTAGCAATTCCATGTACACAGTGATATTTACTGAAGTCATTTGTAGATTACAGAATTACTGTTAGCTGAAAGTATTGGTTGTTCAGTATACTGGTGTGTGAGAAATAATACCTAGCTTTTTTCTAGAACAGTTATGTGACCCGAGGAGGCCTTTTTCATTTTTTTCCCCACATAAGAAGCTAGTAGCCCATCTTTCTGATGGTATATGTTCAGTAAACCTGATACCTTTAGAAACACAGGGACATAGCATAGGTGGAGAGTGGGGGTATTTTGACCATATCTCTTTTGTTTTAGTGTTTAAAGGCAAACTTGGAAATCTTTCCTTGGCCTTTATAAAATGCCCTTTTTGTCCTTATTGTGAGAACCTGGTTGATTTTCTGAAAGCAAAACCCACAGAAAGATGAAGAGGGAAGAAAGATGGCAAAGTTGGATACAGACAGCACTGTCAGATGAAGCACTGTGGGCAATAAGGTTGTAATCAACTAGAGACTGAAGATGGGACAAATCTTGTTTCATCTCCATGCTTATTCAAAGACTATTAAAACAGCTTGCAGTACTTATATATCCTGATTGAGAAAGCTGCATCATCAGGAGCGAGTGATCAGAGATAAAGGCCGCCCCTTCTCCCCTCACTAAGAGATCCACATAGAGACTGATCTGCCAATCAGCCACATCTGAGCAGGGGGTCTAGCTCCTCTCCATGCATGATCCTCTGTTGGTGCATCAGTCTCCCCTGGGCTCCTGAGTCACTTTCTAATTTTTGAATACTATATTTTATAGGGTTTAATTCTTCTCTAATCTTTCTCCCATTCTTAATTCTTAGGTTTTAGAAGAAAAACTATAGATTGTATTAGATAAGTTTCTGTTGCTGTGATCAGATATGGTGACTAAGGTAACTAAAAGAAGGAAAAATTTATTTGGGTTTACAGTTACAGAGGGATAAGAGTTCATTATGGTGGAGAAACATAGTAGCAAGCAGCAAGCATGGCAGCAGGAACAAGAAGCTGAGAGATCACATCTTCAACATCAAGTACCCAGCAGAAGGAGTGAACAGGACATGGTGTGACACTTTAAATTTTCAGTGTCTGCCATTAGTGACATACTTCCTCCAGCAAGGCTGCACTGTCAGAACCTCTCAAAAGAGAACCACCAACTTGTGACCAAGTGTGCAAGTACTGTAGCCTAAGGAAGACATTTATCATTCAAACTGCCACATAGACACTTGCTTATTTCTTTTGACATCTTATTGAAAGGGCTATAACATCACCTGAGTCACAGACACCAAGCCCAGCCTAGGTGAGCTGGGCGCAGGACTCAAGCCCTATTGTCCCCCACCCTGGGGAGGCCTGTGTAGTACCTGATCAGCTTTGGACTTGGAGTTCTTTTTGCCTCCTCCCCATCTGCCTGGTCCATGTAAGTCATAGACACCGAGCCGTGTGAGCTGGATACCTGACCCAAGTCCCATTTTCCTCCATCCCGAGGAGGCCTGTGTGGCATTGGAACAGCTTTAGATGTGTAGACCTTTCTGCCTGGCCCACCTGGATCACAGAAGAGAGCCCAGAAGAAGTGAGCTGGATGCAGGACCTAAGTCTCATTGTCCCCCATCCCAATGAGGACTTTGGCCTTTGGAGCAGCTTGTGGCTTGGAGATCCTTCTGCCTGTTCCCCATCTCTCAGGCCCACTGGGGACACAGACGTGAATCCAGCAGAGGAACCACTATGCTGTCTAACACGAGTCAACCACATGGCTAGAGGCCAGTAAACACAAGCAAAAGCTGGAAACCTTCCACAGCAAACTGTGGAGATATCACATCCAAAGCACACACACACACAAAAAAACAAATTTTAAAGCTGAGATTATGAAAAATGATAGAGGCCTTAAAAGAGGATAATAAATCCCTCAAACTGGAACAGAAAAATAGAATCAAACAAGTGAAAGAATTTAACAAATCCCGTAAAAAATTAAAGAGATACAGTAAATTATAATAAACCTGGAAAAGGAAATGGATAAAACTGTTCAAGACCTAAAAATGGAACTAGAAGCAATAAAGAAAACAAAATCTGAAGCACTCCTGGGGAGGGAAAACCTAGGGATGAGGATAGGAACTATAGACACAGCATCAATAACAGAATACAAGAGATGGAACAGAGAATCTCAGGGGTAAAAGATGTGATTGAAGAAATTGATACATAGTCAAAGAAAATGTTAAATATAAAAGTCTCCTGACACAGAACATCCAAGTAGTATAGGGCACTATGAAAAGACAAAACATAAAAGTAATATAAATAAAAGAAGGAAAAGAGACTCCCAGCTCCAAGGCCCAGAAAATATTTTCAACAAAATCATAGAAGAAAACTTTCCAAACCTAAAGAAAGTGATGCCTATAAACATACAAGAAGCTTACAGAACAACAAATAGATTGTACCAGAAAAGAAAATCACCCTGCCATATAATAATAAAAACACTAGATGTATAGAACAAAGAGAGAATATTAAAAGATGGAAGGAAAAAAAAAAAAGGCCAAGTCACATATAAAGGTAAACCTATCAGAATTACACCTGACTTCTCATCACAAACTCCCCAGAAGGGCATTGACACTAAGAGACCACACATGTCAGCCCCGACTACTATACCCAGCAAAACTTTTAGTCACCATAGAGGGAGAAAACAAGATATTCCACAACAAAAACAAATCTTAATTGTACCTATCCACAAATCCAGCCCTACAGAAGATACTAAAAGGAAAACTCCAACCAAGGAGGCCATCTATACTCAGAAAAACAGGTAATAAGTAACCACACATCAACAAAACCAAAAGAAGGGACACACACACACACGCACACACACACACTACAGCACCAACATCAAAATAACAGAAGGTAACAACAACTGGTATTAATATCTCCTCAATAAAAAGACACAGGTTAACAGAATGGATATTAAAATAAGAACTGTATTTCTGCTTTATATAAGAAACACACCTCAACAATAAAGATAGAGATTATCTCAGAATAAAGGGCTGGAAAAAGATTTTCTAAGCAAATGGATGTAAGAAGCAAGCTGGAATAGCCATTCAACCAAAAT